TTCGGTGTCGCGGTGTTATTGATCGCAGCCGTTGCCGTTGCCGTTGGCTGACTTGGCTCTGCAGTGGCAGTTGGGGCTGGAGTAACTGTTGCATCCACACTTGAACTGCTCAGGATATATGAACCGAAGGCGATGAGGTATAGAGCCAAAAGGAAGGATACGGACTTGGAAGCCATTTTTTATTTTTCACAAACTTGACCAAAATTTCACAAACAATTCTTTGCCGTTTACTTGACTGGCCTTGCAGCTAAAGAGATAGAAACAACGCAGTTTATTAGATGAATTTCCAAGTGCAAGATACGAGCATAATACTTTCAATAAAACAGAAAACTAACCAAAAATATTTCTTTTTCAAAACTTGTAATCGACCTCGACAAAGAAAAGGCGAAAAGAGAATACTTCCTCGTGCATGTGCTCGCAAGTGCACATGGGAGAAGACAAATTCTCGCTTCTGATTGGCTAAGATTGTGCATGATGTTAAGTTCGTGAATCTGCGATCTTTGTAAATAACTGGAGTGTTACTGAACAATTTTGTAAAGGTTGTTACGAGGTTGTTACAGGGTTGTTCATGTTACGGCTATTTAGTACGCGCCTGTTTCCGGCATACCTAATAGAAAAGTTTTTACCCACAGACCGCGGTGTCTAAAAAGTATACTGAAATCTGGTATAAAAAATATAAATCTGGCATGGAAAATAGCCTCAAACCCATGGGAAATACGTAATAAAAAACGACTGCAGCTAATTTCAAATTCATTGCCATATATACATATACTTATATACATACTTTTTAACCACAGCCGTGGCTAAAAAGTATAGTGAAATCTGATATACTTTTAGCCACAGACCACCGTGGCTAAAAGTATATAGTAAAATTTGATATACTTTTAGCGACAGACCGCCGTGGCTAAAAAGTATACTGAAATCTGGTATACTTTTTAGCCACAGACCGACGTGGCTAAAAAGTATACTGAAATCTGAAATACTTTTTAGCCACAGACCGCCGTGGCTAAAAAGTATACTGAAATCTGGTATACTTTTTAGCCACAGACCGCCGTGACTAAAAAGTATACTGGAATCTGGCATACTTTTTAGCCACAGACCGCCGTGGCTAAAAAGTATACTGAAATCTGGTATACTTTTTTGGCCACAGACCGTCGTGGCTAAAAATATTGTAAAATTTGATATACTTTTAGCCACAGATAGCCGTGGCTAAAAATGTATAGTGAAATCTGATATACTTTTAGCCATAGACCGTCGTGGCTAAAAGTACACTGAAATTTGATATACTTTTAGCGAGAGCAGGGGCGGACATATCGATTTTGACTGGGAGGGTGTAATCACGAAATGAGACCGACTCACCACTGAAATGTGAATCCAGACCGACTCTTGGTGAGTCGGTGTATTGCAATAAAATTGAATACAAAGCATGGAAATTGATGGCATTTATTAGGAATTTTGCAAGAACACGTTCAGTTTGCTGTGAAACGTTATATTTTTATTAAGTGTCCGCGCTTAGTTAGGTTTGACCACGGATTAGCGATTTCGTCAAGATCGATCGTGTCTGTTAGATCGCGTTCCTGGTTCATTACTAAACGCATAGCAGTTTTAATTTCACTGATTTCAGCTTTGAAAAGCTGCGCTCGGCGAATGCGGGATGTTACAGTAACTGTCAGGCGCGTAACTATAGGATTTTTGATTGACTGAGACACTTCTGGGGCGGGTCTGGGGGCATGCTCCCCCAGAAAATTTTTGATTTTCTAAGGCTTAGAAACGCTATTTCCTTCATTCTGGGAGCAGTTCAAAGGAAATATCAATTTCATAAACAGTGACACAATGACTATAATTTTATACTGTTGTTTTTCCCCAATCCTGAGGCTAAGAATTACAAATATTTTTGGTCGAACATCATTGATCAGGTGCATATTAAATAAAAAGTTTTTGTGCTCAATTGTTGTAATATTTGGGCGCTGGCCCGCACTTTTGTTATTGGGGTACTTGTGCACCCATACAGCCTCCCATTTCTTACGTCACTGTAGGGCAAGAATAATGCTTCTTTACTTTGAGAGAACTATATAGTCTGTCACTGAACATGAGCTCGATTGACTCGTATACCTAGTTATGGGCCTGACTGTAAGCAACTATTGGAAACATCGCGTAGTCAGTGGAAACAATTTTTCCCTCCGTGATTTCAGATAAACCAGTGCGTCGTTCACTGATCGAATTTCTTGATTGCAGTAAGCACATAACTCTTTGGTAACAAAATGCATATGCATAATTATCATGTTACATGTGAACATACTTCCTAATAAAACTCGGCTAGAAATTCGTTTTTGCACTTTACATCTTAAAAATATAGTTTAGGGACTGGAGAAATATTGTAACTAAATGTTAGCTATTTTGATCGAGATTCATCGCATTTTGGAGTCTGATTTTGGGGGTTTGAAATTTTCGCTAATATAGAATATCACCCGTGAATGACCTTGCAGAACCTAAATTCCAAATAAAAGTGGCAACACGTAATTGTGACATAGATATCTCATGCATGTTTGGAATGTAAATGGAAACTTCATCCCTTTGCGCGTGTTTTGAATGATAATTCGTAATACGTAATATTTCTTCATATTACTTCTGAGCTGTTTGATCCGTTTGAGCACATTTCCAACTCAATACTCAATAGTCTGAGTCTATCTCGAGTTTCGAAAATATTTAATTTGCTTCGCAAAGCACTGCACGTAAACAAACGCATAATTTTGAGACCGACTGCACGTAGTTTGAGACCGACTGGGTCATTTCTCTGGGGGGGGGGTGAACCACCCCCCCACACCCCCCCACATTTACGCCCCTGAGCGAGAGACAGCCGTGGCTAAAAAGTATACTGAAATCTGGTATACTTTTTAGCCACAGACCGACGTGGCTAAAAAGCATACTGAAATCTGAAATACTTTTTAGCCACAGACCGCCGTGGCTAAAAAGTATACTGAAATCTGGTATACTTTTTGGCCACAGACCGTCGTTGGCTAAAAGTATACTGAAATCTGATATACTTATTAGCCACAGACCGTTGTGGCTAAAAGTGTAGTGAAATTTGATATACTTTTAGCCACAGACAGCCGTGGCTAAAAAGTATAGTGAAATCTGATATACTTTTAGCCATAGACCGTCGTTGCTAAAAGTATAGTGAAATTTGATATACTTTTAGCCACAGACAGCCGTGGCTAAAAAGTATAGTGAAATTTGATATACTTTTAGCCACGTACAGCCGTGGCTAAAAAGTATAGCGAAGTCTGATATGATTTTTAGCCACAGACTACCGTGGCTAAAAGTATATAGTAAAATTTGATATACTTTTAGCCACGTACAGCCGTGGCTAAAAAGTATTCTGAAATCTGATATACTTTTTAGCGACAGACCCTTGTGACCAAAAACTATAGTGAAATTTGATATACTTTTACCCACAGACAGCCGTGGCTAAAAAGTATAGCGAAATCTGATATAACTTTTTAGCCACGGCTGTTTCTGGCTAAAATATAGTGAAATTTGATATACTTTTAGCCACAGACCATCGTGGCTAAAAGTATACTGAAATTTGATATACTTTTAGCCAGAGACAGCCGTGGCTAAAAAGTACAGTGAATTCTGGTATACTTTTTAGCCACAGACCGACGTGGCTAAAAAGTATACTGAAATCTGAAATACTTTTTAGCCACAGACCGCCGTGACTAAAAAGTATACTGGAATCTGGCATACTTTTTAGCCACAGACCGCCGTGGCTAAAAGTATAGTAAAATTTGATATACTTTTAGCCAGAGACAGCCGTGGCTAAAAAGTACACTGAAATCTGATATACTTTTTAATTTTAGCCACGGACCGCTGTGGCTAAAAAGTATAGTGAAATCTGATATACTTTTTAGCCACAGACCACCGTGGCTAAAAGTATATAGTAAAATTTGATATACTTTTAGCCACAGACCCTCGTGGCTAAAAGTACACTGAAATCTGATAGATATATACTTTGTAGCCACAGACCGTTGCGGCTAAAAGTATAGTAAAATTTGATATACTTTTAGCCACAGACCCTCGTGGCTAAAAGTACACTGAAATCTGATAGATATATACTTTGTAGCCACAGACCGTTGCGGCTAAAAGTATAGTAAAATTTGATATACTTTTAGCCACAGACCCTCGTGGCTAAAAGTACACTGAAATCTGATAGATATATACTTTGTAGCCACAGACCGTTGCGGCTAAAAGTATAGTGAAATTTGATATACCTTTAGCCACAGACCGTCGTGGCTAAAACGTATAGTGAAATCTGATATACTTTTAGCCACAGACAGCCGTGGCTAAAAAGTATACTGAAATCTGGTATACTTTTTAGCCACAGATCGACGTGGCTAAAAAGTATACTGAAATCTGAAATACTTTTTAGCCACAGACCGCTGTGGCTAAAACGTATACTAAAATCTGGCATACTTTATAGCCACAGACCGCCGTGACTATAAAGTATACTGAAATCTGGTATACTTTTTAGCCACAGACCCTCGTGGCCGAAAAGTATAGTGAAATCCGATATAGCCACAGACCGCCTTGACTATAAAGTATACTGAAATCTGGTATCCTGCCACGGACGGTTTGTGGCTATAAAACACATCTGTTTTCGGCAGACCTTATTGCTACGGTGTGTGGCTATAAAGGATACCAGATTTCATAAAACATTATGGCCACGGCGGTGTGTTGCTAGTACAAAGGATACCATATTTCAGTATTAGCCACGGCAGTGTGTGGCTAACTTACTGGCTATAAAGACGCCTGTTTCCGGAAGACCTTATAGCCAGGCTTTGTCGCTTCTTTTTAGGTCCTTTATATAGTCACGGTTTCCTATTACAATGGCTATATAACCGACGCTTTCTAGTCTCACTCACTCCCCCCCCCCCCGGACACGCCCTATTGCCCACTCACACCAGTGTGATTTGCAGACAACGGCCCGGAAGTGGACAGACATGAGCATATTAGGCATAGGCACAGAAGAGATAAGGGGTGGCACCCCGCCACCTCATATTTCGAAACAATTTACATTTTTGTGTTGGCGTTTGGAGGCAATAGCAATAAGGAAAGTTTATAATCAAACACGATTAGACTCCATTTATGTCATTTATGTTAAAAACTTTAGAAGTATGAGCTGGAGAATATGGTTTTTCCTTTTGTTCGTGCAGCTTTTGATGACATTTGACATTTGTACAGGTACGGCGTATTCGAGCTATTAAAGAGTGTTTGAATATAGAATTTAATGTTATTGTGTAATAATTCTCGTGATAAATAAAGTCTTTCTGTATATTACCAGTGTACGAGCATGTAATACACTTTAAAAATTGCTGAAATATATAGATTCATTCAAATATTCTCATACAATTTTATATGTAAAGTATCAATTAATATAAAGGCAAAATGTCAATTTAAAAAACAAGACGGTAGTTCCTGTTCAAGTGCAGTACCGGTACCGGCCATGTTTAAATTCGATTTTGTATGAAAGAGGTCTTCAAAAACGAGTTTGTAATGTGGGATGCTTCAAATATTAAGTTAATTAAATTGAATATATAAATTTATTGTAAATGAATACAATTTTTGTAAGGTTTTTAATATATATGCAATATTGTGTTTGTGTTTATGCAAACATATGATATAAACTGTATTATTAAGTAATGTTTACAAAGTTTACATCACATATACTTGTGTTAAACTCTGGTCAAAGTCAATGAGAGTTGATGAGTGTCGATCGATTAGAGTTGGCAGTCAAATGCGAGTGAGAATTCATCATCAATTAACTCCCATCCTCATTTGACTGAGGCGATATAGGCATATAGCCATACACTGTCTGAGTCATGTGAGTTGGGCTTAATTGCTCTGATGCAAACCACAAGCTAGCCAAATTAAATAATTTTAGTGAGGTGGACAAGCCCAACAAACGCTAGCAAGAACTTCCTGCTCAATATAAGTTTATTTTTCAAATTAGATACTATTTCTCTCACGTCACAATATGGCCTCAAGAGGTTTAATTACCTTATATCATATTGGCCCGCATGGACATGGTAGAATAAACATACATTATTCGATCACTTCAATTCTGATTAGGGCTTTCAGTTACCGATACGTCAAGAATTATATTATGCTTACTTATATTACTTACTTAGCTTAGACTATTTATCTTTACAACAACCCCCCCCCCCTTCCTGATCACACCTAGACTGAGATTTTACTTGACAATTTCAGGAGATGATTTTGATGATTGCACTGAATATGTACAGATTAAAAATGAATCATTATACGACAGAGACCCAAAGTCTGTAAATGACCTTTCAAAAAGACCTCTTGGTTTTATGTCTGTCTTGATTCCATTTGAGACCAATAATGCTGATGCAAAAAATCCTTGCTTTACATTATCTCTCGATGACAGTGCCAAACAGACTGTTCAAGTTTTGGTGAGTAAATATGTCCATAAGTTCATAACCACTCCCCATGACTATTCTTGTAAAGCCCTCCTTTCTATAATATATCAACCTTCCATTCATAAACAAATTTAGCCCCCCCCCAAAAAAAAAGTATTCTTAGTGGTCCTCGGTGGTCTGCAGTAGTGAGCTTAAGCAAGTAACTTGTTTGTCAACACAGATGTCAGATTGCCGAGGGGGGACTGTATTAAAAGCTGTGTTGGTATCAGTTTGTGGTAAAGCTTCAACACATGTGACAATAAAACATAAGATTTTTAAAGTTTTTTGCCTCCTTACACGAGCGGTATGATTCAAAATGCTGCCCAAACTAGTCTTACCAATTTTCGGGTCAGTGTTGACAAAAATGTTGCTTGCTTATAAGCTCACTATTACTGATCGTTCCAATTGAAGTGTTCCTCAAATATTGATTCAATTACATGACATTACGTTGGGCTGACCAATTCATACAAATTCAAATTTCTTTTTACTTCCTGTGCGTTTCCTATTGGTCAATCGGTTCTGAAACGAAATCTAATTGGCTCATTTAAAAGTAACAGGAAGTTGATCAATTTTCTATCAAATGAATTGGTCAGCCTGAGGTAATGTATTGAATCAATTAATATTTGAGGAACACTTCAATTGGAACGACAGTACTAAGTCCTTGACCATCTCAAAACAGTCCTCCAGCATCTCATTAAGTGCAGCAATTCAAGAAGTATAAAGTATGTTATAACTATACAGTGGATTTGTTTGTGATATGATTACTTTGACATTTAAGAGAGAGAGGGGGGAGATAGGGGTGCAACTGCAGTTCTGCTGAGGTTGGCTTAAAATTAATGACTATTTGAATATATTTGTAGGCCACAAGTGCTGTTGGAGACTCATCCTTCTGGTAATTAAAATTTCAACATTATTCAATAAATCAATTGTTGATTTTTAGTAATTTAAATATACATATTACTATATGTACTGGTACGGACCTACCTAATGTGCTATCCAAATTTTATTTTATTTTTAGTGTGAAAAGTCAACCACCATATTCTCAGCCAACTTGTCAGTCGGTAAATATTTTGTATGAAATGATATACAAATAATGAATGTTTATGAGTGCAATGGTAAGAATATTTTCATGAGGTGAAAGATGGAATGTTCAATTCAATGAGGCGACAGCCGAGTTGAATGGAACATTCCATCTTTCACCAAATGGAAATATTCTTACCATTGCACGGAGAAACATTCATTATTTGTTTTATATAATACCAAAATAGACTAATAGATTTGTATAAGAAGCATTTTGAGGGATGCGATTTATCGAAAACACAAAGAGTGCAATATTGTACTATACGTTTTATTCCATTGCACTCGCGGAGAGTGCAATGGAACGTGTTCCATTGCACTCTTGGGAAATGGAATTTTCTATTCAATATCACGTGACTATAAACAGCCAATTAAACGATTAGAATTTAATAAGGTATTATATAATACATAATATTGAATACGATATTCCTCCCACAGGGAATGTATGTTGGTCAACTGGTTACTAATTAACCACTAACCAACCTTTCCACCATAACTTTGCTCTGTGATCAGAAATGAGTCATTAAAGGTGGCTGCCTCACAGAGGTGCCTTTTGAATTTGCCTTCAACTTGATCAAGTTTATCTGCGTCCTCCACAGAGGGCGCCTTATACTTTTTGTGTGAAGCGTGATGGGCTTATTTTACTTAGCTGTGAAACGTGATCGATGATTTTCTTAATCCGTGAACATGAAGGAATTTTTACAATTTTTTGTGACTCGTGAAAAGGCAAGATATTTTTTATGGGAAGGCATATTGTGAAGAGGTATAGGGACCCTCCTCCAGATTTCAGCTTAGCTCTCAGCTCTGCAAATAAGGATGATTAGCACACCCAACTTAGGGTACTTGTGGTGACTAATCACACATTTTATCCCTTATGTGCCCACTATTTGCATACCATTACTGACAATGCTGGAAATAATTGAAAACCTGCATGTGTTACCATTGACAAAACCTGTGCTAAAAACAGTGTTGTTCAGATGGTAAGTTGGGGCAACCTCAGGCTCTTACCTCTTGTAGAGGAAAGACTCTGATAGGAGCTGGTCACATGATCTGTCAAAATCAAGCAGATTTTTAATTGCAGATGATGATGATGATGTTGATGTTGATACCTATTTGATATTTATACTTTAATCTATAGTATAACTTGCATTTTGTTTTGCAAGTTTGATTTTATTTTATTTTAAAGAAATCCAAGACAATTCAATTAGAAATCTGCTAGATTTTAGCAAATCATGTGACCTGCTCCTACCAGGATCTTTCCCCCACTTGACAGGTACGAGCCTGGGAACGAGGTTGAAAGTGGGGAGGGGGTTAAGTTGCTTTCCTACTAATCAGACTAATCATAAAATTGAAAAGTAAGTAGTGTTTAATATTCATTAATACTGTAGGGTATAAAGACATGTCAAGACAGCCCCATTGGTCATAATTCCATTAAATATGTTTTCTATTGTGATGGCTGTGAGAGTGATCTTCCTATTTGGTTCCGCTTGACCGTCAGCCCTTCTTTTAGTGATGGTAATTATCACAAAATATTATCTTTACTGCGTTTTCGATAATAATTCGGGCTTACAGATTGAAAGTTTTGCTAACTACATGCAAATATGTGTCATGTACCCACAAAAAATCTATTCTATATTTTTATCACATGTTATTGAAAAATGAATTAGCCACTATCTAATAGTAATACGTTCTGAGCCGCCCTGTAAAAGTTATTTGGTTAGTTATAGTTAGTTAGTTAGTTAGTTAGTTAGTTAGTTAGTTAGTTAGTTAGTTAGTTAGTTAGTTAGTTAGTAAACTAACTAACTAACTAACTAACTAACTAACTAGCTAACTAACTATAACTAATTTTTATAGGGGGCTCAGAACGTATTACTATATTAGCTAGTGTAGTTAGTTAGTTTTTTGTTTGTTTGTTTGTTTGTTTGTTTGTTTGTTTGTTTGTTTGTTTGTTTGTTTGTTTGTTTGTTTGTTTGTTTGTTTGTTTGTTTGTTTGTTTGTTTGTTTGTTTGTTTGTTTGTTTGTTTGTTTGTTTGTTTGTTTGTTTGTTTGTTTGTTTGTTTGTTTTGTTTGTTTGTTTGTTTGTTTGTTTGTTTGTTTGTTTGTTTGTTTTGTTTGTTTGTTTGTTTGTTTGTTTGTTTGTTTGTTTGTTTGTTTGTTTGTTTGTTTGTTTGTTTGTTTGTTTGTTTGTTTGTTTGTTTGTTTGTTTGTTTGTTTGTTTGACTGTTTGTCTGTTTGTCTGTTTGTCTGTTTGTCTGTCTGTTTGTTTGTCTGTCTGTCTGTCTGTCTGTCTGTCTGTCTGTCTGTCTGTCTGTCTGTCTGTTTGCCTGTCTGTCTGTCTGTCTGTTTGTAAGTCTATCTGTCTGTCTGTTTGTAAGTCTATCTGTCTGTTTGTCTGCCTATCTGTCTGGAGTCTGTCTGTATGTTAGCCTGTGCATCCCTTGCTTCTCTGTCTGTCTGTCTGTCTGTCTGTCTGTCTGTCTGTCTGTCTGTCTGTCTGTCTGTCTGTCTGTTTGTCTGTCTGTCTGTCTGTCTGTCTGTCTGTCTGTCTGTTTGTTTGTCGGTCTGCAAGCCTGTTATTGTTCATACTGTGTATTTCAAATGTCTTGGAACCCCGTTATTGGAGAACTAATCTCTGTGTGGTAATTCCAGCCATGTAATCTATTGTGTGTAATAGTTTGTGTTAACTAATTTTGTGTAATAGTTTGTGTTAAATGGCAAAATCTGTAAAATAAAATAAATAAAATAGAATCGGGCTTACAAAAAGGCTTATTAAGACAATTATAAGATCCCCTCTGATATTGTTCCTGCTTTCACAGTGCGTAAATGCTAACAGGCATATGTTCCGCGGCAACACTGGCTTAAGCTATATACGATCAAGACCAAGATGTATCGTAAGGAATCTAAAACAGTTCAGTCTTACTTTTGGGAAGTTGAAGAACTATTCCCAAATGTTACCAAGTTTATTACGAATCTATATACCTAAACTGAGTCCTCACATTTGTAACATACAGTAAGGTCTTACTAAGGTGGCAAAGCATTGGGTGAACTCAATTTAATTTAAAGGGTTTACTAGATAGAAATTATCTGGCAAAAACTACATTATGTTTTATGGACATAGCTTACGTCCATTCCCACTAGGGCAGCTTTTCCGATCTTGTGTTTTAAAGTCTGCCCCTTGACAGCGCCTTGCTTAGTTGTTTTGTCTATTGCATCGAAGGTTAGGCTCAGATTCCAGCCGTTGTGTTCTCGCCACTCGCCCACTTAACGGCTGGGTCACTGAGCTTCGGCATTGTTCTGATTGACCAATCACATTACAGCCCCCCCAAAATTTTGGGGGCATAATTTTGTATTAACAAATAACAATGCATAAATTTAACACAAAGAGGACGGCGTTGTCACGTTGTGCAAATATGTGCACTTAAAAAGATCTGTTCAACGATATTTATACGTGCATGGGTTAAATATGGGTTAAAGCGACATTTTTGGGGGAAGAGTAATTCCGACGACTTTTACGACACGAACCGCATGATTTACAGAAGTTTAACAGTCCCTGGAATGTTTTCGAATCCGTTGCATATTTTTATATTGTGTTTATTTATAACTGATACCTCATTGAGGATTCTTGGTCATGAAAGGGCAAAGAATATTTATCGTGCGGCTTAGCAAAATTAATAACCTTTCTTTTTTTTAGCTTAGTTAGCTAGGTGGCTTAATCCTTTGAAATCCTCCCTGTTTCTGCTGATTCAGTTGGACATTTATAATTATATTTACAGTAAACCTGGATGTGTTTATTATTGGGCTGGTCTGACATATTGCCAGGAAAGTAGAAAATGTTATTTTGCAAAGTCTTGTGACATATAGTATATTAGTATGTAGGATATTGCAGATTTTAAAAGGCTTATTTTAATTAAAGTGCCACTAACCCCCTAAATTTTCTTTTCATAAAATCAATAACCGCTATTAAGACATGTTTATATGATCCTGTCAGGTGGGAAACCTTGCCAGGCAGCTAGGATGTCATGTTTATACATGTTCATGAGTGAGTTCATCAAATATATACATGTATTTTTGAACACGAGTTGATATGATAGTTAGGATCTTGGAAACTGCCTCATCCTGCCTAGCTGGGATTTTATAAACAGGCCCTTTCATGGAGCCCATGGCTAGGTAGTAATAGGCTTAGATCTCCCACAAGCTAGTTTGGGCCATTTGACAATATTTTTTGGACTGGGCAGGTAATTTGTGAACTGAAACTGATATATCAGTTTATTCTATGTCAGTGTGCTCATATATGCTAAATACAGGCAAGCACAATAAATTCAATATTATTTTATATATTGACAATATGATTTACCATGAATACTATATAATTGAATAAATGTTAAGGTACATAGTTATTTGAAGGGCAATAAATAAATCCAATTGGTATCATGTGTTTCTTTGTTGTGAAGGGGCAAAGAATGGGACTTGTTGGATAGCCTAAGTAGAGGATTTATGGAATAAAAGTATGCAATGTTTTATAAATTCAGACATCAGTGAAATATGCATTTAGTCTGTTCAACAAGCTCAAATATGTTTGCTCTCAGGCTGAGTTTTGGAAACTTTGTCAGTATGGTATTAAGAAAAGGATAGTTGTCATGTCAATGTATGTTTTTAATGACTGTTCATATAAAAGCCAGACTGAGAATGACAAAGCATGATAAATTGCTGAGTTCTGAAAGATTGAATATTTATTTAAGCTAATAACAAGGGTTCAGAAAATTTGTTGCAGTAACACTTTAGTTAGAAAATATCAAATGTTAAACACCAAAATTATCCTGGCATGGGGGATTAAGTTTTCATGGGGGAAAAGAAGCCAAATTCTTTTTGCATTCCTGCAGAGATGTATTCAGGGATGGATTTACTGGGGCACCCCCCTAGCCCTGGCCAGAGAGGGGAGGGGTGCTATTTTTCATGATAAAGCAAAAAATTATTAGAGACAAAATGACATACAGTAATTTGAGTAATAACATGATGATAAGCGAAATGTGAACAACAATTACAATTTAAATACAGTAGTCAAGCAGGACTTTGCAGTAGTGAAGCAAGTTGATGGGCGGGTGGCACACATGACCGACACAACTCGGCACCAGAGCTGGCAGAGCACCCCCCTACCAGATCATGCTGGATCCATCCCTGGATGTATTTACTGCCATGGGGATGCACCCCCCTTAACATTGGCAAAGGGGTGTAAGGTGGGGGGTATTTCATCAAATCATTTTTTTTTCAATTTGGAAAGACAATATCCTGTCACCATTACCACAATAATACCCCTCACTGCTGTGTGTAGCTACAAATGATTACTGACTTGGTCAACAGTCATACACTGAACCATACTATGTATATGGGTCGATGAGCACACCCGGCATCCATTTGTACAGACAACTTATACAACACCGAAATAAGGCCAAGAACATTTTAAATTTCAAATATTCTTGCTACATCAAAAGACTGTTTAACCAAATCTATGAAGGTGCACAGTAAGGTACAGTTCAACATCAAACACTAAGGTCTTCTATTTTGTAGCTTTGAAGTTTGCAGGCTTCCAGACCATCATAATGATCATATCTTGACAGACTATTGTTTGGTCTATAAAAGACTTAGTTCCTTCACTGTCCCTCGAACAAAATCATAAGGAAAATTTTTAGATATTAATCACACGGCGTAAAATTGCATTACGTATAACTATAGTCTATAAACAACTCAAATAAATATTAACATTAAATTTATGTTCCTCTTCAAAGAATATTCATTGAAAAACTATTGGTTTGAAATAAGACGTTAATTATTCAGATTCACATGCTTTTGTTGGTAGGGTTTATTCTTTTACTATTTAGATATATAATATATTCATTGACTCGTGTACATTGCAGTTCCTTTCTTCGTTAAAAACATAATTTTATATTTATATTTTTTTATTTGCCCATATAAAGCTAAATATATTTACAATCTATATTTTTTACAAACATTAAGGGCTAGGAACCTTTATGAAACCCTTTCAGGCTTTTATTCAAAGGCCCCTAGTTTAACAATATTAATTATTATATAAAAATGGTTAAAGCTTGTTCAATCTTGTCAAAGACAAAGTAAGAGTATTTACAAATATAGTGATTTGAATATAAATATACACAAGAGTTTATTATGTGAGATTACAAATGAAAGCCGTTAGGTATATTCCAAGAAAAGGCTTTACAACTTTTTCTTAAAAGTAGAATAAAACAGTATTGCTAGTTCCTTTATCAAGAGAGTTCCATATTTTAACTCCCTTGTTAACAATAGTATGTTTTGCATAATTAGTTCTACTATGATTGACATGCAATTTGTTAGAATTCCGAGTATTGTAATGATGCACTTCATTGTTTTGTATGAAGTAGCCATTAAAAAATTCAGGTAGATTTTGTAAATGTTTAAAACGGTACATAAATAAACAACTTAAATAGTCATTAATCTTAAAGATATTCAAGATTTTCAATTTTTGAAACAATGGTTCAGTGTGTTCAAGATAAGATTTAAAGTTCATCAATCTGATGATTTTTTTCTGTAAATTCAGTATTTTTAGCAGCCTTGTTGGGTACGTGTTACCCCATATTAAATTCCCATAAGTAAGATATGGATAAACTAATTCATAATAAAGTACATTTAATGTATTTTTGTTTGTATAATGTCGTATTTTTGCAATCAACGCCGATGCTTTAATAATATTTTTGACAACTTAGCCTGCATGGCAGGCGGTACGTAGGAAATACCGCCTGCCGCAAAACTGGGTGTAAATGAACTACCGCCCCTGAAGCATCAACGCTATTTATA